CTTGAGTAAAGAGGTCAAGTTGATACTTCAACTTTTACCAGAGTGTTTTTAAACTGCATTATCTATACTTCTACTTAAGTAAAAAATGTGTGTACTTTTGACACCACTGCCTTTGACCATAGGACCTTTTATCAGGTTCTGATGCAAAACGTTGCATCATTAAAAAAAATTCTGAATTGGGTTTTTATAATTAATAATTGAACATCATTGATCTCACAATGGAGAAATCTACTTCTGCATCTTAACCCATAGGACCTAGAGTTCAGGCTGTGGGGATCGAACTGGATACTTGCAACCTTCTCAGACACAAGCGCACTCCTCTAACCACTAGGCCAACACTCCTTCTAAATCTCATAATAATATACTTGAAATCCTTCACATATAATTATCTCCTGCATGATGCAGGAGGGGAGAGTGGCATCCTAGCGGTTAGGGCATAGAGCTAGGAATCCTGAGGTTCTGAGTTCGAGCCCCACTCCCACAAACTGCAACTCTGGGTCCCTGAGCAAGACCCTTAACCCAAAACTGCTCCCCAGCGCCCTACAATGGCAGCCCACTGCTCCCCAAAGGGGATGGGTTAAATGCAGAGGTAAATTTCTCCAATGTGAGATCAACAAAAGTTAAATTATTATTATTGAACCATTTCAAGTCAGGATTGGAAGCATAGATTTTTTTTTTTTTTTTTTTTTCTGTTCCCTTTTATCTTTAGGAACCACAAAGCACCTTTTAGTCACGTGAGTCTTGTTAAATACTACTATAAATACCTGAAATCTTGTAAGCAGCCACTTTTTTGACCAGACCCAGGCGGCCTATATGGTGTAAACATTTCTCTAGAAGATCTACTCTTTCAGGTGAAACGGAATCCAACTTCTCCAGTTCAATCACCACGTCTAAAAACGTCTGCAAAACAGAAACATTACGTGTTAAGATAGTATTTCAGATAAACCGAAAGTTTCCCATAGCAGAAGTGTAGAGTCATGGGGATTTATATCCCGCCCACGCACACACCCACGCTCAGCCTAAAGGCAATAATAATCTTTTTACCTTTGAACTGTCTAGTTTTTCACGAGTTAGAGTCTTGCTTAATAAGAATTTGATTTGATTCACGTCGTCCGTGTCCATTTCATCACTTAAAGTAACAATTAGTACTCTGCAAAAAAAGAAAACACGGCGTCATTTAAACTATTGCAGTTGAAAGGAAGTGAAATCAGGAGGTTTATGTTACCTGAATGTCGGGAGGGTTTGTCCATGTGTCCGAATCTGACTTTCTGCCTCCTTTCCTCGAACTTTATACACCTTCTTTAAGATGTCATTCCGTCCCAGCAGCAAAAGGACGGACATTATGAAGAGGGGAGGCTCTCCGTGGTGATCCACGCCGAAACTTAAAGCCTCCCTGACACGATCCACGCTGCAGTCCGTGGATAAGCTCCCACAGAGGTAGATCACCTTCCTTCTTTCCCCGCAGCTCAGATCCTCCGCTAAGACGCTGATCGCCAGAAGGTGACTGTCACTAGAAGGGGACATGTTGCCGCTTCAACAGCTGTTAGAGATAAACACAGCACTTCAACAAATAGACTTAGGATCCAGGAGGCAAACAGACATATTCTTCGACATAAAACTCACCTAACGGGTTTAACCAGCAGACTGCGATGGAGACAAAGAACTATCAGCTCCGTTTGGATGGATGACGGAAGGGAACGCACTTTAATCTTAATATATGCAGGCAAATTTCCTTTCTTGAGACTAAATGAGGCTTAAAAAAAAAACACGGATGACGCGTTACAACCCCTGAAATTGTAGACTAAATGAAACTTTGAGAGAAAGAAAGGGGATTCTCCATTATGCTCGAGAACGAAAGTGAAAGAAAAGCTGATTTCCGGTGGAGAATTGCGCATTTTTCCCGAACGTCAGAAACTCTTCTTCCGATTTGTGATGGAGAAGTAAAACTTTTATTTAATAATGACTTCAGCGCTCATAATTAGTTTGATTTTCTGCAATTAGAATTTTTAATATGCATGATTTTATTTTTTTGTTACTGCTTTTTATTGTCAGGACACTATTACAAGTTCAGAGCAACGAAATTATTAACTCTGCATTCCACCAATCCAGTTGGGGAGCAGCCATTGTGCGGCGCGTGGGGAGCAGTGTGAGGTTAAAGGTCAATGTTGCCAACTCCTCAGTAAGGAAAGTAGCTATTGGCTGCGCTAGAAGTCGTGAAATGACGCCATTGCCTAATTTGCATAATCTGCCACATGACGTTATGTACATGTTATTGACGCTGTGGGAGAAATAACGTTATCATAGAGACAAAGTGAGTAAAAACACTCCGAATATATAGAGTTACTTTTCCATCCATTAATGTTTATTTATTTATTTAATTAATGTTTATTTTTTTATTACAATACTAACCCTCCTTCTTTACCAGGGCTTGGGACCGGCAAAATGAACCATAAAGAAGCACAATGGCAGAGTTACAGTTTATTTTATTTTATTTTTTTATGATTATTATTTTTTTCCCCCTTGTTGTTCACTAAGGAGCCTACAAATCATGGTAAAACATGAACATTTTAAACCATAACATTTTTTATATTACATTAATATTGACAATCTAACTGAACAAAAAAGACTACAAAGAATCATTGACAATGTGAGCAAATAATGGCAATTTTTTTTTTAATTATTTTATTAGTACATGTAAATATAACTTTTATGCTTAATGATTAATAATGATAAATAAAAGTAGGTCAGTAATGACAAGGTGAGAGTGGGAATGGTTGCAGAAGTTTTTACTTTTTCCCTCGATTTCTCACAAAATATATATTCTTTTAAATGGTAATATTAAACATTGTAATTTTTACATCTGTCCCCTACACACCAACAGAATTACAGCCTGATGTGAAGCAAGTAGGACTAACATTCGGTCGAAAAGTGGTTGTAAGATAATACATCTGTTTCTATATATAGGGACAATCACACAAGGGACAGTTGCAACAGCAATTTATTAACAAATAAAAACATTTTTAATCACCATTTATATATTTTTTTGAAATTATGGGCTTATTCCAATATTTTGAATCATCATCTCTCTTGGTGATTTGCCCCTTTCCTGTCTCATAGCATACTTGAGGAAAAAAAGAAGAGAAGATGTAGGATACCATCAAAAACTTAGATTAAGCCTTTACAGATCAGTTAGATGTTAAATTACTAGCCTTTACCACCATCTTCTAACTAGCTATGTTTACTTAAAACATTTTTTCCCCCCATGGAGTCTATATCTGCTGGAAGCCAAGAAATTGCTGTTTCAATAGCATTGTTAAGTTATTGATACAGACAGTGTGAAAGCAATCACAAAAAAGTTATCACAAAAAATATAACTTGTTTACCTTTGTTTTAATATCTCCCTGAAGGAATTTGTATACTGAATGTGGCTACTAAATGCTCCTGCTAACCCTTCGCAAACTGTGCATGCAAATATTCAGCACTTTTATATTGGCACAGTGCAGTATGCAGCATGATACTCCCACCTCTGTACTTCAAGTGGGGTTAGTGTCCTCCTCCTTGCCTTCTTCCTCTCTTTTGCCCTTCAGTTTTTCTTAAATCCAACTTAATTTCCTGAAATAATTAGTGTTGAACCAATAACATAAAAAAATTGAAAGAAGAAAGAAATGTTTTGTCTGTACACCACTTAGTTGGACGACCCCTAAGGCGTTGTCCCCAAATAATTTCAAATAAAAAATATATAGGTGAAGGAGAAAATTTAAACCAAATATAAAATTTTTATGACTTTAAACAAAGATGAGCCGCATTTAGACAGAAAGTTTCACTGTAAACTAGATTTATTATGCCTTTTTGTTTTCCTCACCAACACAGTTTTATTTTTGGTTAACTGGGGTGGCACAGAAGTGTGCGCAGTTTTGAGATTTTCATTTATTAATTTCTTTAAAGAAATGTATACCGGTAGGTCTTCTCGAAATTAATAATAAATATTTGCATCAGATTGGCAGTTCAATCTGACATTTTTTTTGTTTTGTTTTGAAGTTCAAGGATATTGGTGTTTAACACTTTTACTCAATTTTATATATTCATTCTTAATATGCTATATCCGAGGTCTTCAACAGAGGGTCCGTGACCCCTAGGAGGTCCATGGAGGTACTGCATGGGGGTCGCCAAAGTTGATTAGACTTTTTTAAGATTAGACCACTAATTGAAATGTCTTCAAATACACATTAATATGAATTCAACACAATGTAGTAAACAGATAAATGGAGGCAGAAGATGTCTTTCAGTCATCAATGCACACATTCAGCGACACACAGGAGCTCTTTTAAGCTGGACACCGTTTCATTCACAACACCTGTCTCATCAACCAGGAATCAGAATCAGAAATACTTTAATAATCCCAGGGAGAAATTACTTTTTTTACATGACTCCATCTGTGAGCTGCTCAGTGTCACAGTGGATAGCACTTGCAGCAAGAAGGTTGTGGGTTTGATTCCCGGCCCGGGGTCTTTCTACATGGAGTTTGCATGTTCTCCCTGAGCATGCGTGGGTTCTCTCCGGGTACTCCAGCTTCCTCCCACAGTCGAAAAACATGACTGTTAGGTTAATTGGCTTCTCTTAATTCTGAGTGTGTGTGTGAATGATTGTTTGTCCTGTTGCCTGCGATGGACTTGCAATCTGTCCAGAGTGTACCCCGGCTCTCGCCCGTAGACAGCGCAAGCACCCCTCGCGACCCCAATTGGGATTAAGCATGTCAGAAAATGGATGGATGGACATCTTTAATAAAGTGACTATAGCACCAGTTTGATATAACACAATATATAATTAGGCGGTACACGCTCCATCAGTTTGGGGGTCCTTGGCCTGGAAAACATTGAAGACCCCTGTGCTATATTTTTAAAGACTTGGAATTCTGGTCATGAGTTTTCCCACCGCCAAAAACGCATCACTGCTTCTCCCCCTGCAGGCTGCGGAGTTCCGCTCCGTCCAGCCAATCGTATTGCTCTGTCTTTCAGCACCATTGCAGTGTGGAGAGATCATTCGAAGCTCGGAGACACAGGGATCATTGGGAGGAAAAGTACCCGACCTGAGAGTGACCGCCTTAAGCAAACAGCCCCTCTGCCTCCTTATTAATGTGTTACGGCGCCTTTACCATTCTGCTGCCCAAGTGAGTATTCATTTACCCTCAAGGTGAGGAAAAAGCAGACAATTTCTCAGGTAGACAGTCAGTCAGTCAGTGAATGAGGGCTTTGCTGGTGACTTGGAACATCATCAGCACTGTATTGGATGTTAACCCGCAGCGAGCCAGGAGGCTTCCTCCGCGTCAGGTTGAGCCAGGACGGCTAACAGGAGACCGGATGCTCCCGGGGGGTTGGAGCCCGGCTGCCGACAGTCTGCTTCAGTTAACCGAACCTCGGCCTGGTCACGACTGATGAAAAGCGGGGATGTCCAGCAGCTGCCGACAAGAAGAGGCATGCTAACGGTATGCGAGCCGAGCTAAGGCAGCTAACGCTGGGGTTCAGGCTCAGGTTTGTCGTGGCACTTTTAAACTAATCGTTAGCTAACACTTAACTGGCTAACGGTGCTGCGTATGTCGGTATAACTGGTTAGATAGCTTCATTGTTTCAAGTTAAAACACCGCCTGTTGATGGCTAATGTGGAGCACAGTACTCTCCACCTAGATAATTTTATATACATATAAATATATAGGTGTGTGTTTGATGCCCGAACAAGTGGTAAAGCTAACCGCCTTATTTTGAAGAAAAGAAAAAAAACGTGCGGAAGCTTGACTTTTCTCTCATCTTACCTGCTGGGTATCCTGTTTGGTGCAGCACTCATGTCGTCTACGTGTGTGTGGTTATGTTTGATACATCAACAAAGTTTCTGCTGATTGAATCACAGCCTTCAATGATAAGTCATAACACTGACCTTAAAGGTATAACTCCACTGTAGGGAACAAATAACATGCTTCCTTTCCTCTATGGATGCTACCCCAAAGTTGCCTCTTATCCAAGTCTAGAAAAGTCTAGATTGTATTTTTTTTCACCCTATGTATATTTGTGAAAAAACTGTGTATTCAAATGATCTGTTTATTAATCTAATCATTTGTCAGTTTGTCCACCCATCCATCCGTTTTACAAAATGTACACTCATCCATCCATCCATCCGTTTTACAAAATATTCATCCATCCATCCATCCATGAATCCATCCATTTATTAATCTTATCATTTGTCAGTTTGTCTAACAGGCCATCCATCCATCCATCCTACAAAATATTCACTCATCCATCCATCCATCCTACAAAATATTCACTCATCCATCCATCCATCCTACAAAATATTCACTCATCCATCCGTTTTACAAAATATTCACCCATGGCTTCATTTGTTTAACAAAATATTCATCCATGGCTTCATTTGTTTTACAAAATATTCACCCATCTTTCAGCCATTCTTACTCACATCTACCTCTGGATTAATTCCTTCACCCATTTGTCTACCTACAGATCCATTTATTATTCCATTTATTTGTATTTCTATCATTCTTCCAGGATTAAGTGACCACCCGCCCATTTACCCATTGTTTCATTATTTATCCTTCCATCCATTTATTTGTTATCTATCATTTCATCTAGCCATCTGCCTATTAATGAATCATGAAATCATGTGTAGCACATGTCATCCCTCCTTTTGTCCTTTCTTCCTTTCTTGCATTCTTCATTTTTAAAGCATGACCAATTTTGAAATATTGTAAATTGATGAGATAAGTATGAAATAGACTGAGAGCTCTGGACTTTCATATCTGAAAAATATGAAAATTTGGAAAATACACATGAGCCCTCTCAATGATCAGTAAACTTTAATATCTAGAGAATACAGGAACTGGAAAATGTTTTCAATATCCCAAATAAATAATTTAATCAATGAAAAACAATCAGTAAAATTGACACTCGGTCTTTAACAAAAACCTACACAAGCATGAAAACTAAAGAAAATCAGTAAGATGGCAATAAAAATAACACACAACCCCTAAAATCGTTGAGATCCTCAAGTTTGTTGTACAAGACCTGTATGTCTTAGTTGTTTTTTATTCCTGAGGCTGCCTACTGGTTTTAGTTATTTTCGTAGCTCATAAAACTGTAAAATTGATTTTTTTTTTGTACCGCCGCTCTAAGCTGCTACTGCTTTAAAATGAATGGGAAATACTGACTTGTCCATGTTTGGGTATCATCACCATCATTCGACTGAAATCCAAAGCGCACCTGCACTTTCTCTGTCCTGTTGGGCTTTAAGACTAACTCAGTGTCTTTTTTTAAAGTCTTGATTACCGTTTCCCTGACTGCTACTCCGTACTGGGCTCACATATTACACTCCATGATGAATACCAGTGCGAGACCTATCCTATGCATGAGGTAATTCCTCCCTACCCCAAGGAAACGAGAAGGAAGGGTTGATTAGAGACCGATGTACTGAAGTGAAACCTTTTGCCATCCAACCCTTGGCAAAAAGAGAGGGAGATGCACTGAAAAAAAGTATGCAAATGAAAGTTATGTCCAAATCTAGCTAGCATTTAGACTAGTTAACTTACCCCAGAATCTAGAAGGGATCCTTTGCCAGCATGCCTGTATTTCACGCCTTAAGGCAAAAAAGTAACTTTACAGGTAAATTACAACTGTAATACTTTTTTTTTTTTTTATATAGAGAAATTTTATGCCATAGGCAAAGATAAAGTGCTATTAGCATCATGCTATAGGGACACCATCTTTTGAGCTGGGACAGGAAAGCTGTGAAATAAATACTGATATACACTAAAGGGTTGGTTATACTCCCCGCATTGAGCCTGTCACAGATATTTTTGATCTATGCCCAATATTGAAGCGTTGTCTGCGCTGTTATTCCACACCACAATGATATAGATACGGTAGAGGCGGTGAGGAAATGGGGGCAAGTTTGTACGACAACGGGGTCACATGACAGCGAAAAAGAGCGGGGATCCAGGTTGAAAAAGGGTCCCAGCGTTCTCATTCACCTCGCTCTCTATTGGTCCATCTTCACCAGTCTTTTTCCACAATGGCGGTCAAAAAAACAAAACAAGCCAGTAAGGTACCAAACAGGAAATAAGCATAGTGTAGAGCAGATGTAGATTTGACCAATCAGAGGCCTCACTTACAATTTGGGAGAGGTGCAGCGGAGTGTCTGGGACAGGGGCACATTTGCATTCACTGCAAAACACGCAGACAACCTGGTTTCTGAGTATAAATCACCCTTAAGCCACCTTTATAGCAGGAAACGGTCCTAAAAATGCAGCCAGAGCTACTATAAAATGGTTCAAATTAAAGCCTGTTTTCGTCTTAATTTCCACCTAGAATCAGATCCAGGATTTTAAAATGATCATTTACTCTCCTGATCTGATCTGACTGAACTCAAAGTTTGAAGATGAGTTTGCAGATGGCTAAAGTTGGATGAGAAAATTCACACCATGCTTTTCATTTGGGGAAACGACAAAAAACAGAACTGTTAACTTCTTATTTCACCACATTTATCTTGGTCTATCGCATAAACGCTATTAAAGCTTCTGATCTCATCAAGCACAGCAAACCTATTAAAAACTATTAATAGGTTATGAAAATTTTATAATGAGAAGTCTTACTAACAAATCAGTTATGGGACATTGAAATTCTCACTGTCTCTTTAAATAAATGTGACCATGCACTTTCATGTGGCGCTTTGGACATTCGATTGGCAGCTCTTTTAAAGCACATTACTCATGTTTGCCCAGCCAAGCAGACCCCCGACCGTTCAGGATGAGAAAGGGACCTTCAGGCAGTGCTTCTTTCAACAGAAATGCATCATAGCCACATTGTCCAATAGTCCCCTGTTGTCCTTTAAAAACTAAAACCAGTGAATTAATTAGATTTGACTCGAAGTAACGCCACTCTACATTGATAGGCTGTCACTATAATAATGATGTAATGGACAAAAGATGCAAAGCTGAAGATCTAGATAATTCCATGCCATCTGCTGCTCATCCTCAGCCGCCTTCCTCCTCCTCCCTCCTTGCTGCATCTCTGCTGCCATGTGTATTGGGACAAGGCTATCATCAGATCTGTGGTCTATTTTAGACAAAAACTCCATTTACCCACTTAATCTGGGTCCCAGTCTGCAGGAGTTAAGTTCCATGTGCAGCTCAGAGCTGTAATCTATTCATCCCAACGTCGAGGGGAAAGCTTTTAAAATACAATTGTTTGTAGTTTGCATTGATTTGGTAGTTGCAGCAAAAGGACCTTGTTTGTATGATTGACTCCGATTAACCTTTTGTATAGTCAGTAACAGGTGTATAATGTATTTAAGCTGACTGATACTGAGGTTGGAGCATACTGAGGTATGTGTAAACTAAAACCTCTTTGTTACTGTATCGAACCCCAACAGTTTGTTAGCTCCCTCCTACTGCTGGTGATGCAGACACACACACACAGAGGATCAAAGCTGTAATTAGCCTGGCATGGATTAGCAGTGGGGGCTATTTTCCACTGTACAGCGCTCCCCCCTACAGAGATGACACGGCCTCCTCCCTCTTTCCTCTTCGTCAAACGGAAAATAAATAGACGAATCACCATATTTTTGCGCACCACGTGCAACACCAGCATGTGAGCAATGAGAAACCTCCTGGTTGTTCTCTTTTTCATCATCTCTTTCAAACATCATATTTGAAGATGTTTGTTTTAGTCCATTTCAGCCTCCAAGTTGGTTTCTAGATTCCCTTAGACATGCGTAAAGGCTGTTCGGTAGCTACTGCATCCAGTCAGCTGGATCTGTGGTTGGCATGCTGACTCACTGCACAGCCAGATATGAGGTGTGTGTGACTTGGAGGTCTTGGTGATATACATGCTGCTCAGGGAGCCAAACAGAAGCTTACAGGAGGAAGAACCACATGAGGGGTGTTATCTCCTGCAGCAAGGACTTTCACTGTAAGTTACTGTTTAACCCTCACGTTTCTTTGGGCTGTGCTGATAAATCAAAACTCAGGTTTGTGTTCAGAATGTGTGGCGCGAGCAGACATGCATATAAAAGTGTTTTTTTATTATTATTTGTTGTTAAAGTTAAGTACCTGTTGTAGGAAGGGGCATAATGAGGTCTACCAATGACAAAATACTAGTATTGCACTGATACCAGTATCAGCCAGGGCCCTGATACTGCACTAAAATGGTGGTATCGGTATCGACGAGTGCCAACAAATAGGGCACCGATACGGTTTTGAGAACCAAAAGTTTATTCAGTTAATTGTCAACCATCCCAGGTAGGCAATAAAAAGTTCTACTGGATTCACTTTGTATTAGTCTTTTTCCTGCTTCCCAAAGGTAGGCAGCAGCTTGACAAAGCCATGATGGCAATTATTTTACATCCAAGTAATATGCAGTTCTTCACATACACACTTCAATTTCAAACAGTGGTATCGGTATGGTATTGGCCAATAATCAGCCAGGTATCGGGGCCAAAAAAATGGCTTCACCGCAACACTACAAAATAC